ATATCCATATTTTTATATCTATGTATAAAAACAAAGCTGAGACTTCATCAGAGGTGTGAGCATCACAGCAGAGGCCTTTGTGTCAAAGTAACTGAGGATCAAACAGAAAAACAGGCAGATTTTTCTGGCCTGTAACCTTAAAAATATTCTGCAGTAGAACAAAAACTAAAGAAAACTGTGATACAACCTGTGAACATTACCTGATGCTGCTGAAGTGAAGCAGAGCGAAGTTTGATTAGAGACACAGCTGAGTGTAATTTGGCATCATTTGAAAAAGTTTACATTTCTTCGGCTATTTTTGAGGAAAAAACCAGCGGCCGGCAGCTCTGTACGCACTAGCAGACTGGTGCAAGCAAGCGGATGATGGAGACAACAGAGATGTTTGATGGTAAACTGGTCTCTGAGTACACTGAAAGAAAGCTGAAGTGCAATTTCATCGTGGTGGAAGCAAAACAGCAAAAGGAAATTCATGAAGCGTAGTTTTGATCATTTTGTTTTGCTGATGGTTCAGCGGTGACGAAACCTGCAGCTTCAGAATCTGTGAGATGTCGTGTACGTGGCGTCGGGTGAACGATCCACGCTTTGTGTTTTACATCTTTGTGTGGAATCCGTTTACCTGCTTCTCATTTACTGTTTTAGCTGTTTGGTGGTTGTTGAAATAGTTTTGTGAGCTTTAACCTGAGATTCTGGCGTTTCTGACAAAATACTTTTATATTGAAATATTGATTCAGGATTTAGTGAATCGATGTCACTTTATTTAAACTAAAATCGATTTGGATAGAGGAAATTTATTTTTTAAAACCACCCCCAATACTGGTGTTCCCAGTAATGCAACAGTAAAATAGTTTGTGGGCTCAAGCAATAAGAATGTGCATATGCATAATTAGCATACATTTGCAAATAAGCCAGCGTTGTATTCAGACAACAACAATAACAATCCACGCACGTGCACAGCTGTGAAGAGGAAAAGCCTGTGTGATATGTGTCTTTAGTTCTGTTTTGTTTGTCCTGATGTCGTTTAGATCTGAAAAGATTTCAACACAAATCGTTCTATAAATATCCACCTAGAACTTTCAGCTTTTTCTGTGTACATCTTTTCAAAGATAATATTCTCCTGCAATTTTACATTGTTTCTGTGCCCCAGGTGATCTGTTCATTGCTGGACTGGGTCCAGGCATGTATGGCAACCTGCCTAAACTGGTGGCTTCCAGAGAAGGCTTCCAGGGCTGTTTGGCGTCAGTGGACCTCAACGGTCGTCTTCCGGATCTCCTCAACGATGCATTGTTTCGCAGCGGGCAGATTGAACGTGGATGTGAAGGTACACCGTCCCTCAAATCTCAGCCTGATTTAGACTACTACAACACAAACTTCAACTCCAACTCCAGCAGCCCTTTCTTCCTGCTCAATGCAAACAGTAGCTCTTCATCCATGAGACCATATGGAAGGCGCTTCATCTTACTAACTGTATTTGTTGCCTCACTGTTAGAATTCTGATCAAATCAGTTCCTCTTACAAAAGTTATCGGCCACATCGCCTCCTCACAGAGCCTTCGTCATCACTATTTACGCAGCCTTTGCTAATGCAGCAACAAAAGATTACCTCTCTTTTTTTTTTATCTATGATGCTTTTGTAAAGTTTTTTTCTGATGATATGAATGATTCAAAACAAAAACACAGATTCTGATGGGTGCTGGCTCAGGTATATCAGTAAAAGGACAAAAGACAGACAGAGTCACTACATTTACATTCAGAGCAAATGGTTTCTTGAACATACTCACATTATTCTAAAGTTAGCTAAAATGCTTCTGACTACATATACTGAACACCGTCATGTTAACACTGTCCTGTGTCACGATGCCAATGATATGTCAGTCCTGAGTGGATCATTGTTTACGTCCATTTCAACCTTTAAAGCCCACAGAGTCATGTATTCAGATGATACAATGCTACGCAGTAAATCTCAGAGCACTTTCATAAATGGTGACAAAATGACAACTGTTTCTTAAGTATCATCATTCTATTACTTTTTTAAAGTAATGCATTTCATTTTTTGTACTCTCTACAGATAATCCATTACAGTAACCATAACTATCATTACTTTTGTGTTTGCACTGGTTGTTACATCAGTTATCATTTTTCAGATGGCCATACATCTGCAAAAATCTTTATCCTCACTGAGGCCACCAAACAAGATAGGACAACAGAAAGCTGCAGTAATGTATCCCATTACTGCACTGAAACGACTATGTTACAAGGAAATGTTATATTTGGAATAGCATTAGGCAAAACATTGGACATGGTTTTTTATATAACAGTCGACATGCCTTTGAAACTTAAGCAAGAAGAAAAGATATTTTATGTCTGCACTGTGTATGTTCTGCCATGAACATGTAAATAGACCATATGAAGAAAAGTACAGGGGCGACCACACATTACAGGTACAGGAGGTACTCGGTCATGGAAACCGATGCCATGAAGCGCCTTTGTTTTTGTGCCGATGCTGATGGGCAAGGCTGAAACTGTTAGTCAGTCAGCAGAGACTCTTACACACTTACGTCACAGCAATGCATGGCACCTTTACATGATCTGCCACTCTGTGAGTTGTTAGGATTCCTACATGATTCCACTTTGGAATAATCACAACACCACAGTTCATTATGGAATATCCAGGAGGGAAGAAATTTCACAAACTGACTTCAAATGCTCGTATCCGATTACATTTCCATGCTTGAACTCGGTGAGCTCTCAGATTCTTTCACGGCCGTTTGTAAATACAGATCTGATGGCTGGTGATTGATTAATACACCTGTGGCAACTGGACTGAAAATATCTTGGCTGTGGTTACGTAGTAACAATGTCCTGATTTTGGTTAAAACATTAAGTTGTTTTTTCATGACTCTCACACTTTACCAAGAGATCAAGCTATGATATATCTATTATAAAAAATCAAAGCTCAAAATTTATGTGACTCTTTTGAATAATATTTGGCACTTTCGATGGGAATCACTGTTTTTATTACATTTTTTTTTGTTAGACTACTGCTGTTTGAGGTAGCCGGGGTTTACAAATGGTCAGCTGCACAAGTACAAAGCAAATAACAATGAAACTACTTCAAAAAATAGTTTATATCTTTATTTATAGGATGTGCAGTTTTACATCTTGCCATTATTTCTGCATCATATATTTGGTATTCAGTTCACACAGACCTTTGTTCACAAAGAAAAACTTGCCAAAGGTTTTAACATGTTCTGTGTAGCTACACCAAAATGGGCCGTTGAAACATTTTGCACAAGAAAACAAATGTCATTGTGGACAAAATGTTTCCATCTTCCTGTAAAAGTTGTGCATTTTTATTATTCACTTATTTATTTGTTGCTGTTTTATGGGCCATCTTCCACAATCTGTTTGCATGGACATCATTTTCTATACAGCAGTTTTTCTTATGCCTGCCATATCATTGAGTTGGAAATGTATGTATTGTACTTTTTGTTTTTCATGGAACATTTATTTAAAGAGCCCCATGTTAAACCAATAAATGTGCTAGCTGACATTTCATTTTAGTAGAAATAAACGGTATATGTCCTTGGTATAACAACCTGAATCAGAATGAAAACAATGTTATTTCATTGTACTGTATGCAGCGCAAGAAAGTATCGGTTGATTAATTTATTTTTCCAAATAAAATTTCATCAATCGCAGTTTGTTGGTCTTGTCCATGGCATTTTTGTGTGTTTGTATGATTTTTGTATGGTTTTCTTTTTCTTTTGCAACACACCACGATCAGCTCAACAGTCTTTTAAACTGTTTGTAATTTCATTACAAGCTTTCATCACATTAAAAGTTTTTCTTGTTTGTTTGTTTGTAAGTTTGTTGCCTCTATCGAAGCCCATCTATAATTAGGGAGTTCAGATTAAAGCAATACATTCTGCCGTCACTAGATGGCGATGCTGCACTGCTAACAAACAGCAAAGAAGTATCAAAACTGAGCTTTAGGGTTTTCTTATAAGCTCAACGGTTAACATGACTTTGTCCCGAATACCTCCTTTAACTGAGCAGCGCGCATCTTTAACGAGGTAAGTCTCCGGACCATCACGTGATTTGAGGTCGAATAACAATAAGTTTTTGTTCAGTATCATTGCAAACCAACCATTCAAGTTATAAAAAATAAACAATAATTTCCCAAACAAATGAATGTGTGTGAGTAGCCAAAGTATACAAACAACAACACACAAAGCAGTTTAACAAAACGTCTTGTTGCTCTTTATTTGTCATTATCATCCTAACATTCACAAAGTTATTGATGACACATTGTTATTGTGGCGCAGTAGCGTTAGCGTGTTGACAGCACAGAGGTCTGGCTGGGCCTCTCCTCCTGCTCTGTGTGCTCCACCTTCCTCTCAGTCCAAAGACATGCATGCCTGTTTA